GTAGATTAGACACATATTCCTTTCTTCACCTATTCCAAAATTCCTCAAAACATGGTGAAAGAAACCCTAGAGGGTAAAAAATTGAGATCACCATAGATAAGACACCTTTACGAGTGGAAGGGCGTTCTCGAACACAGGAACTAAATTGAAAGGCATCTGAACCAGCATCCCAGAGTATACCCAGGGTTCGTTCTGTAGGAAGTGTGCTCCACTGTTTGCATCCATCAGCCACTGAACTGCTTGGTAATGATTTTAACACCTCTTCATTGTTTGCCACAAATTTATGCAAGCGAAATCCTGCATCCTTGCACAGCTCTCACAAAGTCTGTTGCATCAGATCCATACTTGCTTTCATATACATCTGCGGCCTTTTTTAAGGCATAATTTGCTACTCCAGGAGATGATGCTGCCCCAAAAATGTGAACCTTCATCCTGTATTCCTGGGGTGCTGAGTTTATATTGCCATCCTCCCACCATAGAAATCTCAAGAAATCTCTATCACAAGGTCGAACTAGAACCTGATTGAACATCCCTTCGATGTCTCCAACGATTGCAATTGGTTCCACCCTGAACTTCAATAGGACACCCAACAAACTGTTCATCAGATTTGGACCTTGAAGAAGGTAATCATTCAGTGAGGATCCCTTGTAACGAGCTGCGCAATCAAACACTACTCTTATTTTGTTTGGTTTTCTTGGGTGGTAAACCCCATGATGTGGAAGACGCTCTCCTGTCTCTTATACACATCTTTGGTGATCTGGCACTCCTTCCGCATAGTTAGACAGCATACCATTCATGAATGTAACATAATCATTTCTGAATTTTGTATTCCTCTTCAACTTGTGTTTCAGCTGATCAAGTCTTTTTATTGCTAGCTCCTTGTTATCTGATAAGCAAGGCTCCAGTCGGAATGGCAATGGAAACTGGAAATGTCCAGTCAACAAACTCAACTTCTTTATCCATGACCTCTATAAATTTCCGGTCATTGACTGACATTGGTTCAGCTTCTCTCTCAACAAAATCAGCCTCGAACATGTCCAAGTTAGCACTCCTTTCTACCTCCAATTAACCTGACTATTCCCCACCCTAATGATGTTTTTATGGCATAAGGGTCATCATCTTGGCCTGGCACCACCTCTCTAGGCTTCAGGGCTCTGGCACAATTAGCACCTATCAATAGCCCAACTTCTATATCACCATTGCATGGCATCAAGAACTTTTTCAGTGATTGCAAGTGTGCCCAGCCATTAGTTGACTCTGGAGTGGGAATTTGGGACTGAGTAACTCTATAATTTTCTTCTCTTGCCAGCCCGTGATGATAAGCCCATCAATCCGTTCACAACTCACAGTGTCTTCTAAAATAGTTGAGATCTTTAAGATGACTGTTGGCCCAGATGCCGATAGCTTATTCTTTAGAGAGCAGTGATGAAACAAGCATCCGACTGGTTGTCTAGCAATGCGTATGTTAGCACCTTCCTTTCAGGGTTTCCCCTGGTCTTCACCCACACTGGGATTATTAATTACAATGTAACATGGCATCATCTCTTGATTCTGCTCTGAATGATGATACTGTCTGAGGTGCGTTGCTTGTTGATGTTGGATTGCGTCTATGTACATGCAAAACAATAGGATGTTTCCCTTGGCATATGCTTTTATTTCGGCATTCTCTCCACATATGTCCTCTTTTTAAGCAACCATTGCACAGCCTCTTTGTCCTTACAAGCGCTTGCTTTTCTTCAGTGCTCATCTCCTTAAACAACTTGCAGGTACATATGCTGTGATTTTCTCCGCATGCTTGACATCCATGTTTCTTTTCTACTTTAGCAGATGTGTTGAAAGATTGAGCTGCCGGTTTACGGGTGTTAGCCTGGGCTTGTGGTGATGCAAAACTAGGGTCATTTCTAATCTTTGCCTGCTGACTTACGAATTCTACAAAAAATAACGGTGGAAATGGGACACCCTTTTCCTGTTTGTACAGTGCATCTTTCGTACGCCACTTCTCTTGCAATAAGTACGGCAACTTATTTACGATGTTACTAATGCCCTTCGAAGTATCCAAATAATCTAGGCCTGGTAAAGTTCCGTCATCTCGTGCTCCCTGAATTTCCTTTAATAAATCCCCAAGATCTCGCAGTCTGCTCAGTAGCTCCTTTTTAATCAAATACTTGGTGAAATTATCCACACTGTTTTGTTTTGAGGACTCCACTGGAGACTGTTCACCTGAGCTTGTATCTCCCGCTGAATTACTAATATTACCATCACTATTATCATCGGCCACAACAGACATATCAACCCCACCAGCTACTGCTTCATCGGCTACGACTTCATCAGCAACGGATTCATCAAAATTGGCTTCATCAGCAACGACCACAGATGTATCAACTAGGACTTCTCCTTTACTATACTCTTTAATATAACCTTTTCCTGCCTTAATTCCCTGCATGTATTGAAGCTGACAGGCTGTCATCCACTCCTCTTCCATCTCGTAAGTGTCCTCATCCTCCACTAACTCTATTAAAGCTGCATGCCTTTCTTCTACATCCTCATAGGCATTTAATTGCCTGGTGAGAAGACCCTTTCCATTTCTACGCCTTAAGCCCCTATCGCACTGGACTTAATTTGGTCAAATTAACCGAGTCACTGGCTAAATTGACCCAAAAAAATCCAATCCAAACGTCGGTTACAATTACCTCAGGGTTAAATTAACCAAGCCGAATGGTTAATTTTACCGACCTCAGCCTGCCCAGTAAAACTTACCACGGTCTCGGTTAAACTAACCACGCTGGTCAAGAAGTCCAATCCAAACGTGATTCACGGTTAAAACTTCTTCCATGTTGACACCTCTCGAACAAAACCGGAAGTTGAAGTCACAAACTAGCGGCCTCAATAATTTTTTTATACACAAGGTTAAATCTTGGTAAAACTAACCGCGTGAATAATCCAAGTGCGAACAATTGTGAAATGTACCCATGACTTTGGTTAAAGTTACCCTGGTTAAATTTACCATTTTTTAAATCCAGTGCAAACAAGGCTTTAGTTGTAATGTTCTGACTGTATCTGCTTCTTCGCTGGCCATGTTAGCTCTATAAATTTATAACTCAAAATCCGGTTTACTTCTGCTTACTTGGACCAATGGTAGAACACTACAACAGGATGCGGGTATGTAATTTTACTGTTATGTCGGGCGTATTTTACTGACTCGATGATATTCGACAACAACAATTTTGCCTTTTGCTATATATTTATTTGTTTGTTTGTTTGAATAATAGTACATTTCCAGTTTAAATGAATGAAATCCAACATACCGTTCAAAAGTTATGGCCCATCAAAGTTGCCAAAAATGGGGGTCAAATGGTTAAAAAACGGCGTTTTTCATCAATTGCCATTTTGAGCATTTTTGGAGGGCCATAACTTCAAAAATAATCATAGAAAACATCTAATTTTCACCAATCTGGTAGATCACATAGGGTTTTATGTGTCTATTTTTTGGGGACACTCTGCAATGTGGTTTTTAAAATAACGGCCCACGAGTATGGTC